TTCCCCTCTTTTCAAAGCAGGTCTGAATCTTTTTGCACAGGTCTTGCCAATACCTTTGGGCACATTCTCTGGTGGTTTTCTGGACTGCAGTTTTAGCCTTTTTGAACTTCTCTACTTAGTTGGTGGTTGAAGTAAAGTTAGGTGAGCTTGCTTTTTCTTTTCTATGAGTAGGAGCAGCAGATGTTCAGAAACTGCAAACCAGTCAGGTTGTTTTGTTGTTGTTGTTCCAAAGACATCTTTGGCAGTAGCCTCTGTCTTATTCTTGAAATTTTTCCACAAAGTGTCAGAAACAGGGGAATCAAGTTGATCATTTTCAGAAACACCCTCAAGCGCAAATTGAAAATTTGCACAAGTGTAGGAGTCCTTCATGTTAGTAATGTGGAGGCAAGGTTTGCCATTTGGCTTTCCATGATGGATTTATTAAAGATGTAATTGGCGCTTGGCGCTGAAAAGGGCATGGTCAGTGTAACAATCAATGCTATGCATTGATAGAGCATGCAGTACATTGTGAATGTTTCTTTGATGGATCAGGATGAGATCAAGATGATGCCAGTGTCCTGAGCAGACATGCCTCCATGTGACCTTGCTGCTGCTGCCAGCAAAATAAATATTTAATACTATAGCTCACAAGAGTGCAAAGCTCAAGGACATGCTGGCCATTTTTGTTGAGGCTACCTGTGCCATGTTGGCCAATAATGTGTCCCATTGCTCTTACCCATATGAGTACTGAGATCACTGAGAACAGTGAGTCTCCTTCCTTTTGGGGACATTCTTTATGATTTGTTCCAGTTGAGAATAGAACTCAGCTTTTTGCTTTTTGGAATAGTCAAGTGTTGGTCCGTAGATGGACAGAAGAGTCACGGTTCCCGAGTTCATATTCACATCCAGCCGAATGAGCCTCTCATTGATAAATACCAGAGGGGTACATGCACTGAGGACAGACTTCTTGGCAGCTAATCCAACACACTATATCCTTGGTTCGTTTTCAGGTTTCTAATACCTGCAGAAGTGGTAGTTTACTGCATCTAATGATCCAGTTTCTGAAAGTCTTTTCTCACTGAGGGGTGCAATATCGATGCCCAGATGATCTAGTTCTCTGTCAGTTATGGTTGTTTTCCTAAGTTCATGGTCTTTTAGTTCAAGTCCGGTTAACATAGTGCGAATATTCCAACAAGCAATGATTAGTTTAGAGCCAGGAAAGAAGAAGTTGGAAGGGAGCTTTTATTAGCTCACCTTTTCTAGGGCCTTTGCCAAGTTGGGGCATGCAGGCCATCCCTAAATAGGGCTGCTTGAACTGAGCTGCTGCTGAAGGCCTGGGTCCTTCCCCACCAGACAAGTGACCATTGAGCACAGACCTATGCCGTGTATGCCTAGGTAAAACAAGGAAGGGGTTACCATAGGCCCTGCACCTTCTCTCTCGACAACGACTATAGAACTCTAATAGCAAAACGAAGGTCAAGACGATTGGTATAGGCCTGCTGCAGCTTCTAGCTGGAACCCCACTCTGAGTTGAGGGAAGCACTCCTTTATTGCATTCGCAGTTGTACCTTTTCTAAATCGCTGTGGTCCCATTTACTATAACTGTTTAATAGGTTCTGTAGTATAATGTCCTGGGCAAGTTGTGCAACTATTTTTAATACTAGTGTTTTTAAAATTAAGCTTGTACAATGAATTTAATCACAAGTAAAACATGTAAATCAATGAGGCTGCCTGCACGAGCAAGGTGATAAAGTTTTGGTCCTTATTTTGTATTTTTAGTTTAGAGAGGTAGATGGAAACCACTTCTACAGTTTGAGCATGACTATTCCATTTTTGCTAAGATGCAGTATTTACTGCATGTAATGAAAATACACTATCTGCAGTGTCTTTTAAACAGTGATGACTTAATTCTTTGTTTTTATGCCTCTCAAAGATGTGATAGTTCTGTTGCAAGGTTTGTAAAATTAATACAGTTGTTGCTGCACATTCTGTAGGACACTCCTGGGTATGGCTCTGTACATTCAGATGACCATAGAAGGTGAAGTGGTAGAAATAAAATTACAACTTATTCACAAAAGCAAGAAAATTGTTATTATTTTTCTCAGCTTTCCTCATTTGGTTAATAAGTCAAGGTTTTGAAAGGAATGCTATATTGCATCCTGTGCACACTGGGAAAGGGGTGGATAGCAGTAAACTAAACTTTCTATGGCTGAATTGCAGACTGGTGAAAATGAAGCTTTATAACAGACAGTAGCAAGCACTTAAGGTATGTCTTCACTGCAGAGTTAACCCAGACTAGGCTAGTCTTGGGGAGCATCCTCACTGCAGAGCCCTACCTGTGCCAGACTGACACGGCTGCATCCTCAATGGTGCAGTAATAACCTGTATGCTAGGCTGGATTTCTAGTAGGATATCTCGTGGTTCTTTCTAGTATACTAAACTGGACCATTCTATGAATATATTTGCAGTATATTGTTGAACTTGTCCTTCTTGGGCTTCTGTGTGGAAATGCTCTTATAGATGTTACTGACATCACATCACAACTTTACTAGGAGGCTGGTGTCAGCTTCTGGCCAGCTGGCAGCACAGGAGAGGCATTTCTCTGTGCAGTTGCTGTGGAAGTACAGCAGAAATGGAGCAGGCAAAAATGGGGTTCAAACCAAGTTTGAAAGAAAGGAGAACTTATGTAAAAAGTATAGTCCAGGTTCTATTATGCAATAGGACTGGAGGACTAAGAGCACCCAAGCATGATTAGCGTTTGTTCGTCTGCAAAGTAGTCAGGTTGCCAGCCTGGGCTGAAGAAAAATCTGTGCTCAAGCCAGTATCTTCAACCATGCCTGTTTAAAGCATCCTCAAGTTCAGGTTAGAGGTTTTTCTGTGGGGGTGGAAGGAGAGTTAGGGGCAACACCAGGGCCACAGCCTGGGCTAACTGTGCAGTGGAGATATACCCTCAGAGTAGAACACTGTATAGGTATAAGTTTGAAAGATGGGCAGATTTTCATGTTAGGGCAGAGAGGACTTACCTGTAACTTTATAATGTTAAGGATAATTTTAGTTGAACTTCTGGGACACTTGACGGTATTTAATTCATTTTATTTTAGTTGTTTTCCTCTTTTCATTTAAGATGTGATACTTGAGTACACTAGTGTCCTTATAAGTAGATATGTAAAAACAAATTTAGATGTATGCTAGTAAGATTACCCCAGCAATAGGAATTAAAAGCTTTTATTTTGTTGATATCAGGCTTTTTACCATAACAATGGGAAAATGGATTTAGAGACACATGAGCCCGTATAGAGAATCAGCAATCAGATGGATCTGGAGAAGCTTTGTCTTCCAGTCTGTTGGATATATTAGAGAAGAGCAGGAGGCGCCAGGATTATACTGGATCTCCTGAGTTTTATGTTGCTTTCTTACATTCAAATCAAGAATTCTGCATTCAGCTGCTCCATTTTTCTGTTAAAGAGTTGAGTAAAAAAGGAGGAACAGAAAAATGGAGCAGCTGAATGCAGAATTCTTGATTTGAATGTAAGAAAGCAACATAAAACTCAGGAGATCCAGTATAATCCTGGCGCCTCCTGCTCTTCTCTAATATATCCAACAGACTGGAAGACAAAGCTTCTCCAGATCCATCTGATTGCTGATTCTCTATACGGGCTCATGTGTCTCTAAATCCATTTTCCCATTGTTATGGTAAAAAGCCTGATATCAACAAAATAAAAGCTTTTAATTCCTATTGCTGGGGTAATCTTACTAGCATACATCTAAATTTGTTTTTACATATCTACTTATAAGGAGATGAAAGTTTACAGAGTGGTCAAAGGAACAGTAGCACTTGGAAAGGGAAAGAAAAGGCAGGAAATACACTTTTTCCAGGAAGGGAGTGAGGAGGTACACAAGCAGAGTGTCAAAAAGCTTCTGCTCTTTAACAAAAGGAATAGGAAACAGAATGGCACAGATGCCACTTTTTCTTTCCCTTTCCAAGTGCTACTGTTCCTTTGACCACTCTGTAAACTTTCATCTCCAGTGGTTTTCCAGCCTGGCTCAACCCATTTGTCTGGTTGAGAGGGTTTTTCAAGTCCGGATTGGAGAAATAATTGTCATATAAGAATTGTGGTAATGTTGCCTTTGAAATGCAAATTCAGGGCCACTTTTGTGATTCACTACCAATTTCTTTAAACATTTGGAAATTTACACATTACAGCAACTTATGTATCAGAACTGATTTTGTATAGAAAGTTGGCCACTTGCCTTTTTGCTGCATAAACTGATCATTCTAATAGTATGATGTGGTTTTTGCCTCTCAGTAATCTGCAATCTACTCTTACTAGTGCTGTGTCATGTTTTTCTTTTATATTTAGTTCTGGAGCTAGAATTAGACCAAAATAATCATACATAACCATGACTAAAGCAAAACTTGAGTGCATAGATCTAGAGCATGATTTAAGGAATGTTTCTAATTTGTATACCACTTCAAACCGTAGTGTTGTTCTGTTTCTCTTTAAGATAGTTTAGCAGAAGTTGTTTACTCTTTTTTTCTTTAAAGAATTTCTAAGGCATAATATTCTGAACAGTTTCTAACAAGTTGGATAAAGATCGATTTTTTTTTTTTTTTTAAATCAGGTTTTTATTGTTTAAATCCGGGGTCGGCAACCTTTCAGAAGTGAAAAGAAAAGGAGTACTTGTGGCACCTTAGACACTAACCAATTTATTTGAGCATAAGCTTTCGTGAGCTACAGCTCTTTTCCACTGAATGCATCAGATGAAGTTACAGTGAGGAGACATATACACACAGAACATGAAAAAATGGGTGTTTGTCATGCACACTGTAAGGAGAGTGATCACTTAAGATGAGCTATAACCAGCAGGAGAGTGGGGGGGGGGGGGGGAACACCTTGTAGTGATAATCAAGGTGGGCCATTTCCAGCAGTTTGAGCTATTACCAGCAGGAGGTTGGGGGGGGGGAGAGAAAACCCTTTGTAGTGATAATCAAGGTGGCCCCCCAATTCTTCTAACTTTTGAGGTCAGGCCTTATAAATATGGCACAATAGGTCAGTCTGTGTTATTGAGAAGACCATCTCATTTTCAAGAGACTTAGCCCTGGTCTACACTAGGACTTTAGGTCGAATTTAGCAGCGTTAAATCGATGTAAACCTGCACCCGTCCACACAATGAAGCCCTTTATTTCGACTTAAAGGGCTCTTAAAATCGATTTCCTTACTCCACCCCTGACAAGTGGATTAGCGCTTAAATCGACGTTGCCGGCTCGAATTTGGGGTACTGTGGACACAATTTGATGGTATTGGCCTCCGGGAGCTATCCCAGAGTGCTCCATTGTGACCGCTCTGGACAGCACTCTCAACTCAGATGCACTGGCCAGGTAGACAGGAAAAGAACCGCGAACTTTTGAATCTCATTTCCTGTTTGGCCAGCGTGGCAAGCTGCAGGTGACCATGCAGAGCTCATCAGCACAGGTGACCATGATGGAGTCCCAGAATCGCAAAAGAGCTCCAGCATGGACCGAACGGGAGGTACGGGATCTGATCGCTGTTTGGGGAGAGGAATCCGTGCTATCAGAACTCCGTTCCAGTTTTCGAAATGCCAAAACCTTTGTCAAAATCTCCCAGGGCATGAAGGACAGAGGCCATAACAGGGACCCGAAGCAGTGCCGCGTGAAACTGAAGGAGCTGAGGCAAGCCTACCAGAAAACCAGAGAGGCGAACAGCCGCTCTGGGTCAGAGCCCCAAACATGCCGCTTCTATGATGAGCTGCATGCCATTTTAGGGGGTTCAGCCACCACTACCCCAGCCGTGTTGTTTGACTCCTTCAATGGAGATGGAGGCAATACGGAAGCAGGTTTTGGGGACGAAGAAGATGATGATGAGGAGGAGGTTGTAGATAGCTCACAGCAAGCAAGCGGAGAAACCGGTTTTCCCGACAGCCAGGAACTGTTTCTCACCCTAGACCTGGAGCCAGTACCCCCCGAACCCACCCAAGGCTGCCTCCTGGACCCAGCAGGCGGAGAAGTGACCTCTGGTGAGTGTACCTTTTAAAATACTATACATGGTTTAAAAGCAAGCATGTGAAAGGATTACTTTGCCCTGGCATTTGCGGTTCTCCTAGATGTAGTCCTAAAGCCTTTGCAAAAGGTTTCTGGGGAGGGCAGCCTTATTGCGTCCTTCATGGTAGGACACTTTACCACTCCAGGCCAGTAACACGTACTGGGGAATCATTGTAGAACAAAGCATTGCAGTGTATGTTTGCTGGCATTCAAACAACATCCGTTCTTTATCTCTCTGTGTTATCCTCAGGAGAGTGAGATATAATTCATGGTCACCTGGTTGAAATAGAGTGCTTTTCTTCAGGGGACACTCAGAGGAGCCCATTCCTGCTGGGCTGTTTGCCTGTGGCTAAACAGAAATGTTCCCCGCTGTTAGCCACAGGGAGGGGGGAAGGTTGAGGGGGTAGTCACGCGGTGGGAGGAGGCAAAATGCGACCTTGTAACGAAAGCACATGTGCTATGTATGTAATGTTAACAGCAAGGTTTACCCTGAAAGAGTGTAGCCACTGTTTTATAAAATGTGTCTTTTTAAATACCGCTGTCCCTTTTTTTTTCTCCACCAGCTGCATGTGTTTCAATGATCACAGGATCTTCTCCTTCCCAGAGGCTAGTGAAGCTTAGAAAGAAAAAAAAACGCACTCGCGATGAAATGTTCTCCGAGCTCATGCTGTCCTCCCACACTGACAGAGCACAGACGAATGCGTGGAGGCAAATAATGTCAGAGTGCAGGAAAGCACAAAATGACCGGGAGGAGAGGTGGCGGGCTGAAGAGAGTAAGTGGCGGGCTGAAGAGAGTAAGTAGCGGGCTGAAGACAGGGCTGAAGCTCAAATGTGGCGGCAGCGTGATGAGAGGAGGCAGGATTCAATGCTGAGGCTGCTGCAGGACCAAACCAGTATGCTCCAGTGTATGGTTGAGCTGCAGCAAAGGCAGCTGGAGCACAGACTGCCACTGCAGCCCCTCTGTAACCAACCGCCCTCCTCCCCAAGTTCCATAGCCTCCACACCCAGACGCCCAAGAACGCGATGGGGGGGCCTCCGGCCAACCAGCCACTCCACCACAGAGGATTGCCCAAAAAAAAGAAGGCTGTCATTCAATAAATTTTAAAGTTGTAAACTTTTAAAGTGCTGTGCTTAAAGTGCTGTGTGGCATTTTCCTTCCCTCCTCCACCACCCCTCCTGGGCTACCTTGGTAGTCATCCCCCTATTTGTGTGATGAATGAATAAAGAATGCATGAATGTGAAGCAACAATGACTTTATTGCCTCTGCAAGCGGTGATTGAAGGGAGGAGGGGCGGGTGGTTAGCTTACAGGGAAGTAGAGTGAACCAAGGGGCGTGGGGTTTCATCAAGGAGAAACAAACAGAACTTTCACACCGTAGCCTGGCCAGTCATGAAACTGGTTTTCAAAGCTTCTCTGATGCGTACCGCGCCCTCCTGTGCTCTTCTAACCGCCCTGGTGTCTGGCTGCGCGTAACCAGTAGCCAGGCGATTTGCCTCGACCTCCCACTCCGCCATAAACGTCTCCCTCTTACTCTCACAGATATTGTGGAGCACACAGCAAGCAGTAATAACAGTGGGAATATTGGTTTCGCTGAGGTCTAAGCGAGTCAGTAAACTGCGCCAGCGCGCCTTTAAACGTCAAATGTACATTCTACCACCATTCTGCACTTGCTCAGCCTGTAGTTGAACAGCTCCTGACTACTGTCCAGGCTGCCTGTGTACGGCTTCATGAGCCATGGCATTAAGGGGTAGGCTGGGTCCCCAAGGATACATATAGGCATTTCAACATCCCCAACAGTTATTTTCTGGTCTGGGAATAAAGTCCCTTCCTGCAGCTTTTGAAACAGACCAGAGTTCCTGAAGATGCGAGCATCATGCACCTTTCCTGGCCATCCCACGTTGATGTTGGTGAAATGTCCCTTGTGATCCACCAGAGCTTGCAGCACTATCGAAAAGTACTCCTTGCGGTTTATGTACTCGGCGGCTTGGTGCTCCGGTGCCAAGATAGGGATATGGGTTCCGTCTATAGCCCCACCACAGTAAGGGAATCCCGTTGCAGCAAAGCCATCCACTATGACCTGCACATTTCCCAGGGTCACTACCCTTGATATCGGCAGATCTTTGATTGCGTGGGCTACTTGCATCACAGCAGCCCCCACCGTAGATTTGCCCACTCCAAATTGATTCCCAACTGACCGGTAGCTGTCTGGCGTTGCAAGCTTCCACAGGGCTATCGCCACTCGCTTCTCAACTGTGAGGGCTGCTCTCATCTTGGTATTCATGCGCCTCAGGGCAGGGGAAAGCAAGTCACAAAGTTCCATGAAAGTGCCCTTACGCATGCGAAAGTTTCGCAGCCACTGTGAATCGTCCCAGACCTGCAACACTATGCGGTCCCACCAGTCTGTGCTTGTTTCCCGAGCCCAGAATCGGCATTCCACAGCATGAACCTGCCCCATTAGCACCATGATGCATGCATTGGCAGGGCCCATGCTTTCAGAGAAATCTGTGTCCATGTCCTGATCACTCATGTGACCGCGCTGACGTCGCCTCCTCGCCCGGTATCGCTTTGCCAGGTTCTGGTGCTGCATATACTGCTGGATAATGCGTGTGGTGTTTAATGTGCTCCTAATTGCCAAAGTGAGCTGAGCGGCCTCTATGCTTGCCTTGGTATGGCGTCCGCACAGAAAAAAGGCGCGGAACGATTGTCTGCCGTTGCTCTGACGGAGGGAGGGGCGACTGACGACACGGCTTACAGGGTTGGCTTCAGGGAGCTAAAATCAACAAAGGGGGTGTCTTTACATCAAGGAGTATTTCAGGCAGGACTTCACGGAGGGTTCCAATAAGAAATGGTGCACCTAAGTTATCGTTCTTATTGGAACAAGGAGGTTAGCCTGGCCTCTGATTGATACATGGCTAGATTTACCTCGCTGCACCTTCTCTGTGAATGACTGCAGTGTGACCTAGAGGAATGAGTCCCCTAGACAGGGGAGGAGGCAAATGAGTACAAAACAAATCTGGTCTATTTCTTGTTTTGACCCACTCCATCTATCTTTTACATCTTTGGCTGGCAGCAGGCGGTGCAGAAGGACTGCATGCCATCCACATCTCATGGCTGCTCGGGAGAAGATGGTACAGTACGACAGCTAGCCATCCTCATCTCTTGCCTGCCTGGCAGAAGATGGTACAATACGACTACTAACAATCCTCATCTCTTGCCTGCCTGGCAGAAGATGGTACAGTACGACTGCTAGCAGTCCGTATCTCCTGCCCGCTCACCATAAGACGGTTCAATAGGACTGACTGCAGGACTAAAGAGAATGACCTGGTCAAGTCACTCCAAATTTAGTCCCTGCGCCCATGTCTGCCCAGGCGCTCCCAGCCGATGTGGCCAGGAGCACCTCGGACATGACGATGACGGCTACCAGTCGTACTGTACCGTCTGCTGCCACAAGGCAAGGGGTTGCTGCTACTGTGTAGCAATGCCGTACCGCGTCTGCCAGCACCCAGGAGACATAGGGTGACGGTTACCTGAGCGGGCTCCATGCTTGCCGTGGTTTGTTTCCAAAATATTTATATTCCTTAAATATAAAAAAAATTATATGCTGTTTTCGATGTTTCAATTTCAATGTTTTAATTAAATTCCAGTTACCATCCTAATACAACTTGACATAAATCATGGGCTAAAAATTATCTAGTAAATAAGCAATGTATCAGTCACCATTTTCTAATATACAAAAAAGTACAGTTAATAAGAATATGAAAATATTAAGCTATATAATTGCTTAAATAAGAGTGAGTGTGTGTATGGGGGGGAAGGTGGTTTTAGTGTAACCTCCTAGGTAGCAAAAAGGTTTACAAAATCTAGTGCAAAGACTCTACAGTCTGCAGGGTGATTTTTTCCCCCCCCTCACCTTCCGGACAGCCAGGTGCCTGCACTCTCCGTTGGAAGGCAGCCCCAGTGTGTACACCCTGCCCCCATTGCTGGGCCTGCCCTGCAGAGGCATGGGGCTGACACAAGCTGTGGGGAAGCTGCGGGGAGCCTTGTCCAGGGGCACCATTTAGGAAGAGCGGGGGGGGCATCTGCCTTGGATCCCCATGAGTTTCACACTGGAGGTCTGCTTGCTGGTCATACTCCAGCCCCAGGTGGAGCTCTTACTTGCAGCACTGCACAGGTAGACCCCTTCCGGCAGCAATTATTTCCTAACTTATATTTTTGCTTGGCTATGTTTGTGTGAATCTGTTCTTGAACACACAAACCGTGAAACATTTTCTAAAACTCTTCTGGTTATTTTCAGCATGGTATTGTTGCAGAGCTGCAAGAGGTACTTTCATGTGTATGTATAAATTAAATTCATTTAAGTAATAAACTACAATGTGTGTTTGTTTTTCATGTTTATGTTCAGTGTATTGTGAAGTATGAGTGCCATGATCACTTGAGAGGTATACCAGTGTTACTTATCCTGCTGTAGGTTATTTCTGTTAGAGTATAGTTTAAATGGAAAAGGGAGTTTGGAGAACATTTGTCTTAGTGGAGAATAGTCTTTTGTCTTACTAGACCTGAAAAATAATTCCTGGAGAAATTAAATTGGAAATATTTGAGAAATCATTTGCTGTACATTAGGTGACGTCCAAGTATTAACAAAGTGGTTGACTTGATTCTAGTTGGACTGTTGTCTTCCTATTGCAAAATGATCCTTAGATGGCTCTGAGACATAGCATGGACTCGCTCTGCTACTGCAGAAATCTGTCCTTGCTGGAATTAATACAGGAGCATAGCAAAATTGTTTACTTACAGATCTTTCATGTTAATATACTAGTTGTGGACTATCTGGAGCTGGTTTACAGGTATGACTTTGGGGGTTAGACTAGATGAGACTAGAGTAGATGACTCTTGCAGTCCCTTTTAACCCTATGGTTTTATGGTTCTATGATTCTGTGACCACTATATGGACAGTTAGAACATAGCTTTGGGTAACCCTGTGCCCACTTTTTGCAGTCTTTGAAGTTGCACGTGAACATTAGGTTTTTGGGCATGGACTTTGTCATGTGGAATTCTGAAAATTTGGGCCTTGTGTCCAAAGTGATGTTCTGATACTTATTTTTATTTGCAGCTTTGACATCAACAGCTTAAATTTGTCTTTAAACTTAAATTGATCTACCAAACCTAATTAGTTGCTGTCATGCTGGTTTTTTGAAAATGTATTTTCATATAACTGTTCTATGAAACTTATGGTGTGTAATGAAATAGAAGGCTTTTGAGTATAAAGTCTGAATATTGCAAAACCTGGATATTGAACAGTCTTTGTACATTTTGATATTATGGAGATAAATGTATGCTTTTAACTACAGAGAAAAACTCATCAAACGGTTAAAAGTGCTCTCCATCATTTTATTGCCCCCGTAATACTCTTTTTACTAAGGGGGTATGGCTAAATCAGTAAAGAATATGGTGACTGAATCCAGCACTCTACAATAGAGAGGGAATAAATTAAAGCAATTTAAGAAGATAAAAAGAACCAAGCCAACCTGAATCCACAGATCTGTTCCTTAAATATGAAAAATCACCTGTGGAGCCAGAGAAGAAAGAAAAGAAAAAAGGCTACAGAGAGCTGGCAGATCTGAGTCCCAGGACAGCCTCTGGGGGAGAAAACAATGCAACAGAAGCCAGTGCCATCAACTTGCAGAACATATTTAAAATTGCTCTTGAAGCTTGAAGATGTTAAACTGGACACTCATGCTGTAAAGAGGCAGTGGATGAGTGCAATGAGATTTTTTAAAAATTAAAATTAGGGCTGTCAAGCAATTTTTAAAAAAGAAAAGTAATCCTGATTAAAAAAATTAATCTATTAATCGCCATTAATTAGACAATAATAGAATACCATTTAAATATTTTGGATTTTTTCTACATTTTGAAATATATTGATTTCAATTACAACACAGAATTCAAAGTGTACAGTGCTCACTTTATATTTAATTTTGATTATAAGTATTTGCGCTGTAAAAAAAATTGTATTTTTCAATTCCCCTAATAAAGAGATTGCACTACAGTACTTGTATCATGAAAGTTGAACTTAAAAATGTAAAATTATGTAAAAAACCCTGCACTCAAAAATCGCTCAGACAAACAAGTTTGTTTACACTTGCAGGAGATAGTGCTGCCCGCTTCTTGTTTACACTGTCACCTGAAAGTGAGAA